TGTTTCCAACAGAAGTGACTTTGCTCCAGCAAAGGTCAAACATCTTAAACGCCTCCAATAACATACACCGCTTTTTAACTTCACTTAAAATGCCACGTAAGCTACGTAAGAATATACGTAAGAGGAAGAGAGCATTGAAACATCCAATAGTAAAACTGACACCACAACAACAGTTGCAACAACAAATGCTGAATGACCCCCACTATGTTGCAACAAATGTCAAGCAATCCTATGCTTTTAAACCGAGTTCTTGGTGCACAGAGTGGAGGTTTAAGAGCGGCACTTTTAGCGAAAATGGCAGGCTATGGTGGAGCTGCAGACGGAACAGCCTATAACCCTCAAAGTCAAATGAATTTGAGTTCACTCAAAAATCAAATAGCAGATGTCAAAAAGTCAAACATAGACATACAGAAGCAAATAGGTGAAAACGAAAAGAAACTAGAATATGACAGACACACAAAGAAACTCAATGAGTTAAACGTAGAGAAAAGAAGAAGAAGAACAACTGAAAGAACTAAGTACAGAGGAATATGCGAAAAAAGTGTCAGAAAAAGCAGCAGAAGTAGCAAAAATGGAACAAGATGTCATAAATTTGAAAAACCATACTACTCAATATAAAATACTGAAAGATGAAGAGATAAAACAAAAAGCCCTGAAGACATATATGGATAGCGATGAGTATAAAAAAGAAGTTGAAGCAAATGTAAAGGCAGAAAAACTTTTACAGTTGCAAAACCAAACCGTACAGTATGAAAACTTAGCACAAGAAAGTAAAAATAACGACGCGGCTATGCAAAAGGCAATGAAAAGCGCAGAATATATAAAAGCTAACAATGACTGGTTAGATGCCCAAGCCAACGCTAAAGCAGCCCAACTCATAGGGTCAATAAGGACAAAAATACAAGCGGATGAAGATAGTTCAAATGAAGCTTTAACAAATGCTGACTTTAAGAACGCTTTCGAAGCTCTTCATAGTAAGGTGAAACAAGTGAACGATTTCTCATCTGGAAAGAAACTGAAGTCTGAAGGTTTCGACAAAGAGTTAAAAGAAGTAGCACAAAATATGACGAAAATAACAGACGCAGCAACGAGACAGGCAGTTCAAAGTGCCTATGACGCCGTTAGAGCAACTGTTGTGAAAAGTCAAGAAAAAGAGTTACAACAGACCAAAACAGACCTAGTAAATGCTTTCTTAAGAACGAAAAGTCAGGTAGGACATTACGCTGCAGATGGAACATATGTGCCAGCTGGTGGAATTTATATACCACCAAACCCTCCAAGAGAAGCACCTGCACCAGGACTACCTAGAACATTTACATCGTCACATGGACACAGACACAGGCATGCACAACAACCAACACAACAACCACCTCCACAACCAGCACAGCAACCAACAGTTCAAAATCCAGCACAACAACCAACACAACAACCAACAGTTCAAAACCCTGCACAACAACAACCACAAACAGAACAAGGACATAAAAGAAGTAGAGAACAAGGAAACCAAGAATTCTTAAAAATGCTTAAAGAAGAGTGTGGTTTCCCAGATACTGTTGACTTTAGTGACAGATATAAAGAAGCTATTGGAAAGTTCAAGGATGGAAATACTGACCCGAACCTATTTAGCTTTATGGCTCAGCACCAAAGGGGATATAATTTCAAACCTGGAAAATACAAGCTCGCTAAGGGATATGATTTAATAGCATATCATCCAAATGACATGGATGAATTTACTCCGAGATATTTGATGTCAGAGCTAAATGACAATTCAACTTTCGTCATGAAACGCGTAAAAAATAGAGACGGAACGAAAGAACAAAAGCTTATGAATGCGGATGACGTAGATAGGGAAATTGTTAAAAACGGTCTCGGAATATATGAAATGCCAGCAGATGAGGTACAAGAAACTCCACAGGAAGAAATAGTTCAGATACAACCAGACATGGAAGAAATAGTTCAGCAACAACAGCTAGAAGAGCCTGAAGGAAACGAACAAGTCACTCCTTTGGAAACTAACCTCACAGAACTAGATGAAGATTTGGAACAGCCGAAAAATCTTGACCCTCAACAAGAGTATGCGGAGAATATGGAATATTTCCAAGAGTCTAAAAAAAATTCGGCTGACATAGTAGAAGAATATCGAAAAATGTTTGCCGACATACAAAAGACTCCAACACCAGATGAAAATATCCAGCATAGAATGGAAGAACTGAAAAAAAATGTACACAAATACAACAACCCTTTTTACTTACGAGCATTTAACGTTCAATCTTCGGATGAACTCGGTGAAGATAAAAGGTTAAATTTCAAGAAAACATATAGAAATGAAACATTGTTTAAAGTTCATTCAGAACCTAACCAAGATGGAAACAAACCTACTTTTGTTTCTGCAGACGATGGAACGACAATGAGATGGGGTCAAAAGCTAACCCGGATAGGTGTTCATAAACTTACAACCTCAATTCCAAGAAGTTGTAGACGCAATGGAAGTCAATGGTGAACCAGATATAGCTGGTATTTTAAGCGCGGCTTTAATGCCATTGAAAGATATGAAAGATGCAGATATTTTGGACCAGTATGAAATGAACATGGCTGATGGAAATATAAACCTGACGTTCTAGAACATTTATCTCAAAGAACTACACAAACCATAGAGATGGTATATTTGGTGAAGAGTTTAGAAAGAAAGTTAGGGAGAGAGAAGGAAGAGAACCTATTGTACATGACCTTGCAAACGAAAGTTTACAAATGTCATAAAAACTTACTTTGCAGACAATGAACTGAGAAGGGATGAATATTTAAGAAAACTCAAATGGACAGTACCAAATGAAATGTTAGTATTGAAAAACATGTTCCTTGACAAAATAAAACCAACTACAGAAATAAATGACGCAAGACTGAAACATTGGGTAGAAGCTTTCCCATTCACAAAAGATATAGTTGGTAACATGGAAAGAAAACCAGAATGGCTACAAAAACATATATTTGGAAACGAGCATATTCCATATGGACAGGCACTGTTTGAAGAGCTTGAACCGGAAACTCAGGACAGAGTCATGCAAACAATACGCGAAGACTCAAATACAGACTATGACAAACTCTTTCTAGGATATAGGTTACCTGAGATGGGCGACCAGAGCCAAAAGGCAAAAAGGACATGGGAAATTTGCAACATACTAGATGAACATAATGCAAAGATGCAACAACTTCAAGCAGAGGGCAATGAAGGAAAAAGAAGAGTTAAAAACTCAGTCAGGAAGAAAGTAAAGCTTGGTCCACGTGGGTTCTATTATGACATATAAATCCAACTATTCTATATTTTTACTCATATGAAATGTACGCCGCTCAGAATATAACGCCAACAGTTTTGGATGCTATGAATGGAAATGTTTCCGAATGGTATAACGAATGCGACAATGCCATTAGAAGGTCAGAAATAGTTCCTGGAACTTACGAATATACAACTGCTGTTTCTTATGGAAACGTAGGTGAGTTTGGAGAAGGTTCTTCAACAACAGTAGATATTGCTTGCGACAGGTTTCATATTATTTCTATTGACAACTCTTTCTTATACGTGGAACAAGACATTGAAATAAAACCTTCTGCCAAGTTGTCTGACAAGAAAGGTTGCAATGGAATTTTCTATGTCGGATACCAATATGCTCCAGAAGTTTTCATGGGATATAAGATATATTCTAACTCTGACTTAGTTCAAACAGTAACATGGGCAAACTATGAATGGTTCGCTTTGAGAAACTCAGTACAACCACAAGCTAGAGAACAAACAGACCAGTATGCAACTATTGAGAAAATAAGAAGACTTGACCCTAACGTTCCAGGAGTTTATGTTGACCTTTCTGGACAAAATGCAGCAGCAGTAACCAAAGTAAAACTGAAACTTAGAGTTCCTTTGTCATCTTTCCTCATCTTCAGGTTTTTAAGATACTTGCCAAACTGGGCAGGAAAAATTTCTATCGAACTTACTCCAAGCAAAAATAACTTAGTCATTGCACCAACACAAGACCCATTCACTCTTACAGACGTAAAGGGAGCAAATCAAACGTCATTCGCCGACTTTTGCAAAGACAAAGTTGACTTAGACTTTGGTTTCTCAAACTTCAACACTGAAGTAAACTATTATTTCAATGCTGCTGGAACTGCTTGGGACCCAGTTAAGTTCACATGCGAACAGTTTGAATGCAAGAGAATAGAAAGCAGACTTGCCGTTTATATGTTGGACCCAGATATTTCAAATGCTTTAGCTGCCAAATATATTGCAGTTCCACTTATGTTCCCTATACACCAAATATCTGTCAAAGACTTTGCAGGTGAAGTTGGAAACCAAAGTGCTGACCCAGGTGCAAGAACAGATATTGCTTTAACAACTGCAATGAAACATGCAGATACTATGTTTGTACTGTTCAGACGAACTATAAATGACTATTCTTGCTTCTACAACCCTGGTATTAAATACCATATAAACATAGATGGCAAATATTATCCAAGAGAAGAATATTCTACAGTTGAAGATATGAGGTCATACAACTTGACATTAGATGCTATGAACTTTAACAACAACTTCACAACAACCATTAACCCTGAAATGCAAAGTTCTATTATGCCATATGTGAAAGTATGGACTCATACAGGAGGTCAAAAAACTCAATATACAAATGGAGACCGTTCAAACTTTTGGCTTGGCATTCCATTTGCTGACTCAGAAGACTTTATGGGTGGTATTTCAACTGTTGGTACAGTTCAAATACAATATACTGGTGACAGAGACGGTCCAAATGAATTGAAAGCAAAGAAGTTTTACAAAACCAATAGCACTTTTCACGGAAGATGCTCTTTTGAAAATTCGTTCGATGAAACCTGCTGGGGCTCCTCAGATTGGCATAACGACAGCTTCCATCGAGCAGATTTTGGCAGCAGGTCAGTAAGTTGTTCTTGAACTGACTTCTCTCCGTCAAATATTGACAGTACGCCAGTTTTGACATAAAATTGTAAGATAAACTTACCTTTAGAAATATCTGTAAGTTTTGTTGTTATATTTTTGTCAACGTCAAGAACTTTCACCATTTCAGTTATACCAACTTTCTTTGCTTTATGGAAATATTTTGGTTCAGCAAATATTGCTATTCTATAACATTTACCATTGTTTGTATAAAGAACTATTCTATCAATGAACTTGTATTGTTTGTGTGTGTAAACTTTGTTCTGCTTCAATTCGAAGAGATACTCGAATACGTCCATCTTTTTATTCTAAGTAAAATGTCATTTCCGAAAAATAGAAGCGTAAGTGTTTCAAAAGGTTTAATGGCGGTGGCAGATGTGAAGTTAAATTCACCAACTCAAACAAACAGTCAAAGTGTTGTTGTCAATGTCAAAGAAAGAGATGTTGAAGTGGGGAAACCATACGAAGACCAAGATGGTATAACAATAGTTCCTGTAAAAGAACAACCAACATACCCTGAAGTTAGCAGAGACTTAAGTTCTGTTGCAGATATTCGAAACGACTACCAACAACTTAAAGACAAACTTAAAACTCAGGAGAAGATTTGTCAGGCTTTGGGTATAATGTTAAACTTGGTCGAACACAACCCTGTAAAAGTGAACTCATATGTCATTGCACCTCATGAAGTCTTGAAAGAACTATTGAAACTTTTGACAGAGGCAGACGATATAAACATCAAAGAAATAGAACCCGACATTAGTTGCTGTGGTGTTTCATATAATGTCATTGACAAGATATACGTTATGAAAGGAGGTGAAACGTTGAACTTAAAATATAGTTTCCCAGACGTCATAAAAATATTTGACGACCACAACATTTCATTAAAATTTACTTGCTAAGTAAATGGCAGAAGACATAGTGGTTTATACTATTACGACTAAAAACCCTGAGTCATATAATTCTATAACAACAAACTTACAAAGTCCTCAAGGACGATATTGTAAACTGACCTTAAACACGATGACGACTAAAGCCTGTTTTGCTTTTTGACACCAGAAGACTTTTTGTTGTGAATGGTAAAAAATACTTCTTTGAAGATACTTACTCAGATATACCACCAACAGGTTTTGTTGACTTATTTAATACTTTAAGGACGGATGTAACATGTGCTGCAACTAGAGCAGGTTTCATTATGTTTGGATGTCCGACTGAGTTTAGTATAAACGATATGAGCTATAATACAAAACTTATATCTGGTTTTTACTACCAACAGTTTCCTATAACAGGAAAAGGTGTCATACAAGGAATGTCTGTTCCATTGACTTTAAGTACACCTATTTTATATATTGTTTCAAACTTAGGTTCAAAGTGCTATTCGAATGTCGACAGAAACTACTATGACCAAAAGATACTCATGCGTATAAACAACACTTTCTCTGCTGGTTTGCCTATTGTTCATTCGAATGCAGAGTTTTCAGCTTTAGTAAACTCAAACACTTTAGCAAACATAAACTTAACCTTAGTCGACGCAAACTTTGTTCCTGTAAAACTTTTATGTCCTATGTATTTGTCAATGACGGCAGAAAGTTTCGAATTGGAAGATGCAACTGGTGAAAGTATTGTACTACAAGAACAACTTCAACAACAAATAGCTCAAGAACAACAAATGCAACAAATGGAACAAATGGAACAAATGCAACAACAAAGTCAAGAATAAAAAAAATATTTTTTTTATTTTTATAAAAATGTACAGAATAGACGTTTCAGATTTTTATGACTTCCAAGCGTTCAGAAATATGTGTCCATTTCGAGACTATAACAAAGCAGTCGAGAATTTGAAACGTTTAGTCATTTATGTTGACTCTGCCCCAGAATGTTATGTCATGAAAGAATGGGATGTTGTCTTTAACAAACCAAGAGCAACAATAGTTTCAGAACAAGAATGTAGACAGAAACTTAAGAAAATAAAAGTCGTACAAGTTGGAATGAAGATGTTAGATGCTTGGGATATCTTATTGTCAAAGTTAGAAGATTTTTCAGTTCGAGGTATAAAGTTCTATACACCTTCTCCAAACTTCTATTCTATCTTCACTGGATATAAATACGAACAAGTAGAATGGAAAGAAAATATTATAGAAGCTTGGTTAGACCATGTCAAAGAAATTATATGCAATGGAAACGAAGAGTCTATGAGTATATCTTATGTTGGTTTGCAAACATCTTACAACATCCAAGTGCTAAAAATGAAACTGCTCTCATTATAATTGGAAAACAAGGAACAGGTAAGAACACATTCTTTACAGATATCTTGTGCAAACTGTTAGAGGGCTATTCGAATCCGAATATGACAAACTTAGAAAACATCTGTGGCAAGTTTAACTCCTCAATAGAGAATATGAAACTTATAGTTTGCAATGAACTTCAAAGTATAGATACAACAAAAGTTTTGAACTCAGATGCTTTGAAGAGTCTTATAACAGACAAAGTTGGAGTTGTTGAAAGAAAGTATAAAGACCAAAGAGTTTGTGAAAATGTTGCAAACTTCATTATGGTTTCAAACAATTCTGTTCCGATGAAGTTAGAAAGTTCTGACAGAAGATATGTAGTTGTCAGAACGTCAGAAGCTCATATGCAAGATACAGAATATTTTGACGACTTAGCAGAAACTTTGACACCTAACTTTTACAACCACTTGTTCTCATATTTCATGACATTAGATATTTCTAAGTTCAATCCAAGACAAATTCCACATACCGAAGAAAGACAAACATTGTTAGAAGCAAACAAGAGTGTATATGAACTGTTTATAGATGAGACTAACTTTGAGTGTTTAGATGAAAGGTCATTGTACGATTCGTATAAACAATATTGTCAAGAGTATGGTTATATGGCAGCTTCTAAACGTACATTCTTGGCAAATGTCAAAAGTCTTTTAGATGTTCAGAACGGCGTATATACAAAGAAAAATTTTTCTGAGTAAATTTTATAAAAAATATATATTTTTATTTTATTTGAAATGTACGCTGAGTTTGTTGGAGAAGACCGTTGGGAAACTTGTTTGTTAGATGAGAAATATGAAATTCACTGTTGTGAGTCATTTGAAGTCAGAAAAAAAGAGACAAAAAGAGTTTTAAGCGAATGGGAGCAAAATAACGGATATGCTAGGATGAAGATGAGTGGAAAAAACTATTTAAACATATTGTCATTGCAACTCATTTTATACCGAATCCTAACAATTTACCTTTTGTAGACCATATAAACCATATAAGAAATGACAATAGACTTGAAAACTTGCGTTGGGTTACTCGTTCTAAAACAATAAGAACAAAGGCAAATTTGGAGATATAGTATTCGAATTTGTCGACGAACTAGAAGATGAAGCAATTGAAATTACAGACTATGGTAAGCATACGTTTGAGTTTTACTACTATAGCGAAGAACAAGACTCTTTCTACTTTTATACCGGCGTAAACTATAGAAAATTACAAGTATATTTTACTAAGGAAGGCTATGCTTATGTAAACGCTAGAGATACAGATGGAAAACGCGTTCAAATACGTCTTAACAAATTCAAGAAGCTATATGGCATACCATTTTAAAACGTTTTTTATAAAAAAATATTTTTTTTATCCGATAGAAAAGATGACGAAATATATTTCAGTCAACAAATATATGTCAGGACTTAAAGAAGAACTAGACCCATTCGCTTATTTGAATGTTTACTTCTACCATTTTGAAAAGTCTACATTTGACAAAGTTTGGAACATCGAACCCGTTAAGTTTGCTATTGTGACTAAAAATGGTGCGAAATTTGAAGACTTAGACATAGAAGGTTTGTTAGCAGTCAAAGAAAATTTTGACAGAAGGTTCTCAAACCTTAAAGAAGGCAAAGCATACAAACTTGTTATACCTTATGAACCAAAGAAAGCAGACGACTATGAATATTATGAGTCTAAGATAGTTGAAGTTCAAGGTAAATTGGGT